GACAAAAAGAGGCTTAGACAAAAAGCAAAAAACAAATAAATACAACTCGGAAGAAAAAGGAAAACCAAAATAGACAGAAATCCTGTCTTGTCGGGACTTAGAACGAGCATGTACGATTATAGCAGAAATCAAGGCCTCTTTTGGTTGCCCAAAGGCCATCCAAAAGGAGAGAGCATATGTCATCATTGTCCACAACCTAAAAAATGGCCTGCCAAAATAAAAAATGATCCATGAGAGCAGAAACCGAGTTCAAAAAAAGCCTGCCAAAGCATATAATCTTGCAACAGAACCGACAACCGTAGATAACGTTCAGGTGACAGGAAGGTTGGGCAGCAAAGAAATGTCGTCATGAACAAACCAGAATTTTGTTAACAACAAAGCATATAATCTTGCAATAGCACCAGCAACCAAAAAATAACTTTCAAGCGACAAGCAAGTTGGACGACAAAGAAATGCCGCCAACAAACGGCATTTCTTTGTTGGAGTAGCTCCAGTGGAAGATAAGATTAGAGAGAGTCTCCTTAGATGGCTTGGTCACATAAAACGGCGGCCTTCTGATGTCCTGGTTAAGAAAGTAGAGGTATTAGATTTGACTTATGTTAAGAAAGGTAGAGGTAGACCTAAAAAAACTTGGTTATAAAATATTAGAAATGAACTTTCTTTATTAGATTAAACAGGAATTTGACTTTTAACATGACACAATGGAGAAAAAATGATTCATGTAGCCGACCCCACGTAGTGAGACAAAGACTTGATGTTGTTGTTGTTAAACTTTTATACTTAAAAGTTGTTTTAAAAGCTATAAGAAAGTTGTTTTACAAAGCTATAAGAAAGTTGTCCCAAACGAAACGTAACTGAACTAAAGTCAAGCACTTAAAAATATATTTAATTGAATTGTTAGAAAATCTATGAATATTCAGAGTTGTTGCATATTATTAGGTCTATTTATAATTTTTTTGGACATTTGAGCCAATTAAAGCAAACTCTGTACACACATCATATCCACAAGCTTTGAATCTAGGACATCTTGGTTGATAGCCAAAACTCTCAACTATAAGATCAAGAATTAATATTTAAAATGCTACAATTACCCTATCCACATGCACTTAACGATAGCCATAAATTTTATTAATGACAAATGTCATTGTCATTGTCGTTTTTATTATAAAATAAAATTATTTTTAACGTGGCATGTGACAGCTAAAAAGAACCCCATTGCCATAAATTTTATGAATTAATTTAATATTAAAATACAAAATCCTTTAATTTTTTTAACTCGTTCTTGCAGTTACTCTTTATATGCAATGTTTTTCTAACATGCGAAGTATTTTATAAAGAAGAAGAAAAAAAGGAAAATTTATTTTTGTAGGCTAACAATACTCTAAATTAGAAACATATGATCTGGTTTTGTTATTTGGAGAAATATGCCTTATTGAATATGGTTTTGTTATTTGGAGATATAATTCACCTTGGAAGCCGCCTCTCTGCTTGGCTTCAACTTTTTGGAAATCGGTTTGTGAAACAGCTGTTGCAGCTAGGCACAAATTCTTTTTCAGAATTCATGATAAATGTCCTATCTCTTTGCATGGGGATCACTGGTTAAACAATGAAACTATTCTTGATAAGTCACAGGGTAATGTTTGGCTTCAGTCCACCCATTCGAGTGTGCTGGTAAACTCTTTTATGACTAATGGTTCTTGGTCTCTCCTGGATTATTTGCCATTTACGTTATATAATGAGATTAATTCTACACCAATTGTTGACTGCAATTCTGATTGCCTAACCTGGGAAGGTCGGGCCTCTGGTAAACATAGTAGATTTGGGAGTTTTATTTATGAATTTTACTGTATGTTGCCTTCTTATAACTTGTATAAATTCATATGGCATTCTCATCATTCTTTGAGGTTCTCTTGCTACTCGTGGCTTGCACTTGAAGGTGCCCTGAAATCTGCTGATGCCCTGAAAAAAAGGAACATTTTTGTTCCTGAAACCTGCAGCCTTTGCCACGTTAATCTGGAAAGTATTAGCCACTTATTTTTTGAATGTCAGTATTCATTTGATATGATTAATAGTATTAGTCCAGCCACCAATAGTCTTCTTCTTAGACCTACAATTTTGCAACTTTTTGAATGGATTGAGGAAGTATTCAGTAACAATGCTCCTCTCAAAAATCTTTACCTACTTTTTGTGAGCTGCTCTCTTTATTTCATTTGGAAAGAAAGAAATAGTAGAAGATTTGGAAATGTTTTAAATAGCAGTTCTACCACCACGACTCTTATTAAAAGAGCTGTGTTTGATAAAGTTGCCAAATGGAAAGCTGTCTCTTCTTTACTTTGCATCTTATAAGTGTTTGTGCTATGCTTTACACTACTTCTTGTTCTGCTTTGCTGCTGTGGATCTGGACTTGGACTGGGAATACTCTGATTATCTGGTTGGTTATCACGGAAGCTATGGTAATCTTATTGAATATAGTGGATGAGTTCTTTATAGGGTTATGGACTGAGCCTATTCTCTCAGGCTCCTTTCTGTGTTGGCGCTCTCTTCGTGGCTGTTTAATTAAAGCCATAGACTGGATGATGATGACAATCATTTTGTTATCCCTCGGAAGATCTAATTTTGGCAACCAGGGATATGTTGCTTTATGTAGTTTTTGATGAGCATTTGGTATTATTCTGAGTCCATATGCTCTATGGCTTTAGTCAATTTCTGTGGACATTAGGTTCTTTTTGTTAGTGCAGTTTTATTAGAGTTGTTTTTTGTTGCTCTGAGAACATGCTCCCAATTGTTTGGAGCTTTTTTGTTACAGCATTTTTCTCTTTACTTGTAATAGCTGTTATTTAGTTTTTTTTTTTTAAATATTCGAACCAAGTCCAAATTTTCCCAAAAAAAAAAAAAAAACATGCCTTATATATCAACAAAAAATTCTCTTGCCCGAGCACGAATTTCGAGTCAAAATTGAATTGGAAATTTTTAAAATTAATTCCGAGACCATTTGAACTCCGATTTCAAAAAATTTATTGTCGAGTTGAACATCTCGAAAAGTCGAACTCAACGACACCAAATTCGATTCAATTGAGCCCAAATGGGTCCAAATCGAGGGCCTGAAGCGCATTTGAAAGTTTCAATGCATAATTTGGATTATCAAATGATTTTTAAATGTGACATGCTTATAGTCGAATTGAGCAGCTCAACGAGACAAATCCAACGAGCCCAAGATCATTTAATTCTGATATCATTAAGACACTTAAATGCTTGATAAACAATCCATGATCAAGGGAATTGATATTAACCTTTTTTTTTTAACAAAAACATAGAATTTATTCCAACAAGATAAAGGGGGTTAAAACAAGCTAACAAGCAGGAAAGAAAAGGCTACAGAGAAGCACAAGGGCAACGACCCAATAGGCTCAGTAAATGCAGAGGCTTCTAACCACGCCTAAGTCAGGCACTGGCCATCCAGTATGGAGTAAGAGCGGAAACACACCAAGTAGCTAGCCCCAACGAGTAAGAATCAGACCATCAAAGGTTGCCACGAGCCACAGCTTAGGATAAGTGAGCCCTAGCTACATCATTGCCTTCACTCGATAAATTGCAGCAAAAAAAAAAAACACTAAAACTCATAAAGAGGGCACTAACAACATCCAAACCCATCATTATTTCCTACCATGCCTACCCCTCCCACGAGAGGTAACAGAGACAACAAGTCGATCATTTCGCAATGCAAAATTGTCCCCAGGTTCTTCCTCCCCACTATTCTAGGAAGAGGAATCAGACAAGGCTTGAAGCCAATCAATTTGCATTCTCACATCCTCCACCACCAGATCAAACAACGCATCAGGAGAAATTAATTAAGTTAACAGGCACGTCAGCAAAAGGGACGGGTAGAAGAGCTTTTGATGTCGCAGGGGAATTAAGAGTATGAATATCATCGCTAGCGGGTTTCTCACTCGCCACAACTAAATGATAACTCGCCCCATCCAAATTACAAGGCAACACCAAGGGATAGATTATTAGGAATGTCATACGCACCAGAAGCCTCTACGACCACACAAGGCTCAGCAATGCTAGATAACAAACACGGGGCAGACAAAGCACCCACCTTAGACAAAGCAGGACAAGAGATAATCACACAACTCAAACCATCTCCAGCACTAGCACAAGCCCGAGGGACCTTAATAGAGGTTAAGTCCCCACCAACACTAACCTCGAAAATCTTCCCAGCCGACACAATGGCAGTGCCCTTATCAACAAAAAATCAAACCAGTCAATGAATTACTTGATAAAGGGGCTAGAGAAGACCCTAATTCTTGCACAGGAGGTAACAATGGTGAAGCACCAGGGGACATGACAGTAACATTAACTCCAGGATTACCAACATCACATCCC